GACAAAGCGCTCCACTCCTATTGGCCACAGCGCTCCTCGCGGCCGGGCCCTCACGTCCAATCGGCGCATGGAGATGCAAATAAGCTGCTATAAAAGGGGAGGGGCGTCGCGGGCCGGAACGGGCGGCGGAGCGGGATCCAGGGGCTGTGGCCGGGTAGTGGCGGGGACGCCGGCCCTCGCAGTCCCCGCCGCGCTCCTGGCCGCTCGGACCATGGCTCCGTCTCAGGCGCCTGGCCGGGACCGTGCGGGCCGCGAAGAGGAGGAAGGCTGGGAGGCGCTGGGAGGCCGCAAGGTGCGGGTGCGGGTCGCGGATGGACGGGCGAGTGGGAGGCCGCGCGGGGCCGGGGTTCAGTGGCCCGCTTCCCACAGGCCCGGAAGCCATTGGTGGAGAAGAAGCGGCGCGCACGGATCAACGAGAGCCTGCAGGAGCTGCGGCTGCTGCTGGCGGGCACCGAGGTGCGCGAGGGCCGGGCTGGCGGGCGGCCCCGCGGACCGTGCGCACGGCGGGGCGTCCCGGGGACCGTGCACGGAGTGGGCGTCCGGGGGACCGTGCACGGAGCGGGCGTCCCGGGGGACCGTGCACGGAGCGGGCGTCCCGGGGGACCGTGCATGGGGTGGGCGTCCCTGGGGACTGTGCACGGAGTGGGCGTCCCGGGGGACCGTGCACGGTGTGGGCATCCGGGGGACCGTGCACGGAGCGGGCGTCCCGGGGGACCGTGCACGGAGCGGGCGTCCCGGGGGACCGTGCACGGAGCGGGTATCCGGGAACAGTGCACGGAGCGGGCGTCCTAGGGGACCGTGCACGGCGGGGCGTCCCGGGTACCTGCATGGCGAGATGCCCTGGGGACCGTGCACGGGCGGGCGCTCACACCCCGGCCCCGCCCCGCCCCACGCAGGTGCAGGCCAAGCTGGAGAACGCCGAGGTGCTGGAGCTGACGGTGCGGCGCGTGCAGGGCGCGCTGCGGGGCCGGGCGCGTGGTGAGTGGCGGCGGGGCTCGCGGGCGGGGCTCGGGCGCCCTGGGCAGGTGGGCCCCGGGTTAGCCCTGAGGGGAGGTCTGGGCAGAGCCCACTCACAGTGCCGTCGCCCTCTCCACCCACCCTGGGGCGCAGAGCGGGAGCAGCTGCAGGCGGAGGCCAGCGAGCGCTTCGCGGCCGGCTACATCCGGTGCATGCACGAGGTGCACACGTTCGTGTCCACGTGCCAGGCCATCGACGCCACGGTCTCGGCTGAGCTCTTGAACCACCTGCTGGAGTCCATGCCCCTGCGCGACGGAAGCGGCTTCCGGGAGCTGCTGGG